GCTCGCCGCCGCCTTCCTTGCCCACGAAGAAGAACGCGCTGCCGGAAAACACGCCGGAGCGCTGCCCACCTCGCCGGAGACTCGCCGGAAAATCCACCGGAAAAGTACCACCTATCGCGATGCCAAAGAAACCCCTCGGAATCCGCACCCCGGAGTGGAACAATGCCGATTACAACGTGATCGGAGGTAAAGCACTTGAACCCGACCAATTCTCTCCGGAATTGGTTGATATGCTTAAACACCAAGGACTTTTAGATACGTATCTCACCATCAAAGGGGATACGTACCCCAAATTGGTGAAGGAGTTCTATCAACACCTTGTAGCCACCAAACGGGGTGACAAGGTAGAAATCACCACCAAAGTCCGCGGCAAGGAAATTGTGCTTTCCGAAGGCCGTTTGGCCAAGCTCTTGAAATTGACCACCACGGGTGTGTCCGACTATGACCGGAAGGGGTGGATTGGCACCCAAACTACGGGATACAAGGACTATCTCGGGTACTTACTCGGGAAAGAGGATGGGTTCACCTCGGCCACCCGACCAAACCGGAAATGGCTATCGGCGGAGCAAAAGATATTGGTTATGATTATAACCGATAGCCTCTTGCCCACCAATAACAAGAGCAAGGATGTGGGAAGCTTGGAGTGCACCTTTGCGTATCTCCTAAAACATAAAATCAAGTTCAACCTGCCGGCACTCATGCTAAAGCACATAGAGTTCTGCAAAACAAACAACCGGCTTAGCCTACCTTACGGGATGATCCTAAGTTGGATCATGGAGAAAAAGGGGGTAGACCTAAGCCACACCGAGGTCAAAACTGCCAATGGCATGGTTTTCAATGCCCAAAACCTCCGCCGCAACGACATCTACATCATCGAAGGAGGACACTATCTCACCCTCGAAGAAATCTGCCACAAACCTGATGAGGAACGTAGGGAATTGGTTGATCGGTTGGACATCTCCAACAAAAAGCTCAAGCGGGCCATGCAAGATTGCGGAGGCACGGAAGAAAACGAAGGACAAGAGGAAGAAGACGGGCCTAACCCGTCAGAGCACCCACAGCCAGGAGGGAACCCGAGGGGGCAAGACGAGGGTTCGATCAACGAACGCATACTCGCACAGCTCGACCGACAGAATCAAATCATGGAAGAAGGGTTCTCATCCCTGGTCCGCACCACACACGCACTCGATCAAAGGGTAGCAGCGATCGAGGCCGCCTTGGGCACTCGCGGTGCACCCAGTTCCAGCGCAGGAAACCAAGGTACAACCGAAAACTTCCCTATCACAATACCATCAAAAGTTCAGCCTACCCCAAGCCAAGACAAACGTAAGGCCGCAACCCTAAATAGGAGGCCGAGCTACGAGGTGTCTAGGGGTAAAAGGGTGGACTATAACATCGGGCTTCGGGGACGAAGCCCCTTGTAAAGGGGGGAAGAGTGTAACACCCCGTGTTACGGCCCCTAAAACCATTTAATTAATCAATCAATAAGCCCAAGAGAAGGAATAAATCATAATGATCAATTAGGGAAAAAGGCCCACCGTAGTCCATGGGCCCTCATATATATACCCAACCCCTAAACCCAATCCTTAGTTTCGAAAGAAATAGAATTAGCAAGCCTATAGTATTAATTCCTAATTAGGACTCCTAAATATATAAATAAGGGACTTAGGAGACACCTAGAACTTCCCACATGCCTAAACGCCCCACCTCCCCAAGAGAGCTCCAAGAATTCCCTTAGAAGAAAGCAAGAAAGCTTAAAGAAAGACCCTTCATAGCCAAGGAACTAATTAAGGCTAAGAGGTAACCCATGTCTCAACAAAACCTATTTTCATAGCTATGATTTCCCCTTAGGGTTTCCCCCCCGTATGATTGTGAATGGCGAATTACTATGATTATTATTGATGTTGATTTAATGATTCCATGGGGAATCTTGGTAATCTTGATATTGGGAGTTTCTTGATAATTGTGATGTTCTTGATGATTAATTGGGATTCTTGATGATTATGTGTTGTTCTTGATGATTATGATGTTCTTGATGATTAATTGGTATCCTTGATGATTATGTGTTGTTCCTACCGAATCTTGCAATTAGAAGACGAATCGTATTCTTGTTGATATAAAAGTGATTAGAACCCTAGGTTGTACCGTATGCTTTGATTCTTGGATTATCGAGTGGGAAATCGCATGTTTGGGTGTTGATTACGTTTAGAAAAGCATGATAGGCCATGTGCCGTTCGTTTCCCGTATTTGATCGGTTAATTGTCTACTTGTTGTTGTTAATTGCGTTGTAAAGTGTCTAAGCATGGTTTCGGGTTCCACAACGGTTCCCGGGGCGAAAAGTGATGAAAAGAGTCAGTGGGGGGTAGGGGACCCGCCACCTACCCGTGGCATTCTCGGGCAGCTCCGGCAGCGGGCGGGCAGCTGCCCGCCGGGCACCCGCTGCCCGGAACAGTGGCAGCCGGCGGGTGGACCCCCACCCACCGGCTACCTGCTGGAAATTACACTACCTCGGGCTCCCGGTTTCCCCGTTTGATGTTTCCCCGATCCCCGTGGTGTCCCAACGGACCCCGTTTGTCGTGCCTATGTCTAGTTTGATGTTTCGGGTACCGTTCGTAGGTTTATGAGTCTGTGATATCGCATGCTAGTTGAATTGGTATCCCGTTGACCTAGGTGAAAGAAGTATGAACCCCTTAGGGCTATCCTTAGTATGTGATGGATCACGCATAGGTTTGTTATACGCTTTATCCCCCTTCCCGATGTGTAACGTGGGTTGCATGTGCTTGCTATGTGTTATGTGTGTGTGCTACCCCAATTCGGTTGCGATCGGATTGGTTATCCTGAGCTGCGGTTCAGAAGCTGGCTGCGGTCAGATTGGTATTCCTGGCTGCGGTCAGATGACATTCTCTTGGGCTGCGGCCCACCGTTTGGTTGCGATCAAACGTTTCTATACGAGCTGCGGTTCGTCCTTTATCCTGGCTGCGGTCAGATGACACTCTCTTGGGCTGCGGTCCACTGTTTGGTTGCGATCAAACATTATGATGAGCTGCGGTTCATCGGTCGGTTGCGATCGACCTCCCCGTGTTGCGATACGGGGCATGGTGCTGCGGGGCTGTGTCAGAGCTATATGCGCTGACCCTCATGTATGGGCATGCGATCAGTCCCGTGGCGCCAACAATGTGCGTTATGTGTGTGATATGGACGAGTTGTGACTATGAGTGCCTTGGGATGTGACTATGGGTTTCATATTGGGGATTGTTTATGATGGGATTATGATTACCGTTTATGCCTTGTCGTAACTGCTTTATCTTTTGTGAAATGCTTATGCTTGCTATGTCCACTGCTGGTGTCTAGCCTTAACTGTTGAGTCATTCCCGGTTTTAAAAGCTAGAGTTCGTAGGATATATCTTCATGCTCATAATGGTTTTCGTATATCTATATATATCTCTATATGTATTGTATTTCAACGCGTTGGAGTGGGTTACCAGCATCTCTCGCTGAACAGATATATTTGGCTTTCAGGCACAGAAGAATAAGTCACTGGAGCGCGCTAGAACTCGGAACGTAGAAGTAGATAGTTCCCTTTTCGGCCTGTGTGCCATATTATGCATTTACATTATTGAGGACATTAGCTAGTTAGCCTGTGCACCTGGGTTCTCTAGCTCAGGTGTGGCATAGCACCCCGTACACTTGTACTATGTTTTGGGATTTAATGAGATAATACCTTTATTTATAAGTTTTAAATGTCTTGAAAATCTGGGGTGTTACACAGGGAGATGAAGATTTGAGATTTATGAGATTCAAAGAAAAGTACCTTCAAGACATGGCGATTGCTGTAGACATCATGTGGCACAAGATTGTATACGTAAGATGTTAATATACATATGATAGTTGCCTATTTGTTATACATCAATTTGTACATTCTAGTATTTGTCTATTTGTGGTGCATTATTAATCATATTATGGTGTATATTATGACACATGTGGTGTGTTTTTGTTATGACAGTTTTTATTTCCCATAGTGGCATCCAACCACTACTACCTACTGTCTGTTAGCCCAATAATGGAAAGGTTTGACATCATTGACAACTCTTCAGCACCTGTGAAGAAACAGAACAAATACGGATATGTGCTTGACAATTTGGTAACCCACTGAGCACTACCTGACTATATATATTTAATACACAAAGACACAAAAAACTAAGATTACTGTACAATTCCTTGATGCAGCAAAAATTTTTTCAAAGATGTTGATCGAACAGAAATCTACGTACAAAGGTGAAAAGGTGAAGAAGCTGAAGTCTAAGATAATGAAGATGCCATGGAGAGATGCACATAACAAAAAGGATTGTGGCGTCTTTTTAATGCGCTATTTGAAAACCTTCAGTGGACAGACAACTGAAGAATGGGATTGTGGATTGCAAAGAAACAACAAAGAACAATTGAACAAGCTAAGAGTGAGATACTTGGCTGCCTTGATCACCTCAGAGGTGAACAAACTGAGAGAAATAAGCATACAGCAGGCAGCAGAGTTTGGGGTTTAAGGAGACTTTCAAACATCTAAAAAAATTTTGTGATGGCATGGCGTAGACCATATGACTACTAGACACTCTATATTTTGTGATGGGTACTTGTGAAGGCCTAACCCATTTGCACCGCTATAAATGCAGCATTATCATGCGTAATCTTCATTTTTAAAAGACCCCACCAAAAACACCATTATAAAAATAACATGCACCATTGTTACTTGCAAAATTCACCAACATATGAAATAAAATGCACCACACAATAATTAACAGCCAACATAACTCTACATATAAAAATGCACCACAATACGGAATAAAACACATCATTCCAAACACAAAAACATTCGACGTACTTAAATGCACCACATTATGTATTAAAACGCACCAAGTACTGTAATAAAATGCATAACTGTATGTTATAAGAAGTGTGCGCAACTGTGAAAACATATAGGTCCAAAATCAACTGCACAACTGTATCTAACCATTTAAAGGG